AAATCTTCTGTTCAGCTCTTGTTTCATCTCTTCTTCATTGTAGTTACTCTGTTTAAGAGCAAGTTTCAGAGTTTCTTCTGGCATCTATTTTGGTCTTATCTTCCTTTTTTTTTTTAATGACCTTTTGCTTTCTTCATGTATGGTGTTCTTGATGTTATACTGCAACTCATCTGTTCTTCAGTCATTGGTGTTCAATGCATCAAATCTTCTCTTCAGAGTCTCTAAATTCAGGTGGGTTATAATCAGGGTTGTATTTTGGCTCTTGTGGACTTGTTTTTAATTTACTTCCACTTCAACTTGATCTGGGAGCAATTGATGATCTTTTCCACAGTCAGCTCCTAGCCTGACTCACAATATTGAGCTTTTCTGCCACTTTTTTTCCATAGATGTAGTAGATTTGATTCCCGTGTATTCATCTGGTGAAGTCCACATGAATTGTCACCATTTATGTTGTTGAAAAAAAGGTATTTGCAATGAATAAGTCATTGATCCTGCAAAATCTATCATGCCATCACTTATCTGTTGGTTTGTTGTACTATGGTGGCTTGTGTGTTGCTGTGAGACTGAAAGCTATTCCATCACCATTTCAAATACCAGAAGGGTTACCCTTGGTGGTCAGTTTTTGGGGAGCTTCCTAAGACTTGAGAAGAAGAATGGGGCTATCCATTTCTGAAAAAATTGGCACCTTATGACTAGCAGTGAAACTGCACAATGATAAATCATCAATAATGGATGCTAAAATTAGTGCAAGTATGATGAGAAAGAGGATATTGGCATAGTGTCAGTGTATTTCCCCTTATGAGACTTACTGTTACAAAGGGAAAAATAGTAACTTTACAATGGAGAAATCTGACCTATATTAGCTTAACCAGTGATACCAGAGTTTCATAGTTCCAGTAGTAAGATACATCGACATGCTGTATCCTTGATACTGTGCCCAGAGAGGGACACAACATAATTTCTGTGGTATTTTGCCTAAAATGATTACTTATATCTGGTCATAAAATAAAAGCAGACAAACCAAATTGAAGGACTTTTTACAAAATGACTGACAAGTAGTCTTCAAAACTGTCATGGTTGTGACCAACAAAGATAGATAGAGGCATTCTCACAGATTGTATTCAAGGAGAGGTGACAACTAAATGCATTGATGAGGGGTCCTGGATTGGATCCTGGACCAAGAAGGCCCAGGTGGGAAAACTGGCAAAATTTGCATATAGTCTATAGATTTAGTTGTAGTATTGTGTTAATGTTAAGCATTAGTTTCCATGATTATGTAAGGTATTAACATTAGGGGAAAGATATACAGGAACTCCTAAAAATTTGCAAATTCTTGGAAGTATAAAATTATTTTAAAACAAAAAAATTGTGAAAACAAAAAAGTCACTCTGGTTCCTAGACTATTGCATTTCATACGTTCAATAGACAGATGATTGAGGTGCTATCACATACTCATCATCAATTGCTCGTATGCAAGTTCAAATTGGAGCTGAAGAAAATCAAAATAAGTTCACAGGAGCCAAAATGTGACTTTGTGTATATCCCCCTTGAATTTAGAGACCATTTGAAGAATAGATCTGACGAATTGAACATCAGTGACCGAAGATGAGACAGATTGTGTGATGACATCATACATGAAGAAAAAGCAAAAGGTCATTAAAAGGACAGGAATAGAAGAAAAGGCCAAAGTGGATGTCAGAATAGATTCTGAAACTTCCTCTTAAATGGAGAGTAGCTAACAAAAGGAAGAAATGTTGAAATAAAAGAGCTGAACAGAAGATTTCAAAGGACAGTTCAAGAAGACAAAGTATTACAATGACAGGTACAAAGACCTAGAATTGGAAAACCAAAAGGGAAGAACATGCTTGACGTTTTCCAAGCTGAAAGAACTGAAGAAAAAATTCAGGCCTTGAGTTGCAATACTGAAAGATTCTAAGGGCAAAATATTGAACGATACAGGAAGCATCTAAAGGAGATGAAAGGAATACATAGAGTCACTGTACTAAAAGGTGTTGGTTGATGTTCAGCCATGGCAAGAGGTAGCATATGATCAAGGACTAATGGTACAGAAGGAAGAAGTCCAAGCTGCATAGAAAAAATTGGCAAGAAAAAAAAAAGGCTCATGGAATTGACAGAATACCCATAGAGATGTTTCAACAAACAGATGCAGTGCTAGAAGCACTTACTTGTTGATGCCAGGAAATTTGGAAGATAGCTACCTCGCCATCCGCCTGGAAGAGATTGTTATTTCTGCCCATACCGGAGAAAGGTGAGCCAACAGAATGTGGAAATTAATGAATAGTATCTTAATATCACACACAAATATAATTTTGCTGAAGATAACTCAAAAATGGTTGCAGCAGTATATTGACAGGGAACTTCCAGAAATGCAAGCTGGATTCAGAAAAGGGCATGGAATGCGGGGTATCATTGCTAATGTCAGGTGGATTGTAGGTGAAAGCAAAGAATACCAGAAAGGTGTGTACCTATGTTTTATTGACCATGCAAAGCCATTCGACTGTGTGAACCCTAACAAATTATGGATAATGTTGCGAAGAATGGAAATTCCAGAACACTTTATTGTGCTCATGAGGAACCTGTTTATAGACCAGAAGACAGTCATTTGAACAGAGCAGGGGGATACTACATGGTTCAAAGTCAGGAAGGGCATGTGTCTGGGTTGTGTCCTTCCACCACACTTACTCCATCTGTATGTTGAGCGGATAATCTGAGAAGCTGGACTGTGTGAAGAATGCGGCATGAGGATTGGAGGAAGACTCATGAACAACCTGTGATATGCAGATGACACAGCCTTGCTTGCAAGGTGAAGATGACTTGAAGGACTTTAATGATAAAGATTAAAGACTACAGTCTTTAGTATAGATTATACCTCAACATAAAACAAAAATCCAATAAGCAACATCATGATAAATAGAGAAAAGAGTGAAGTTGTGAAAGATTTCATTTTACCTGGGTCCATCACAATCAATACCCATGAAAGTAGCAGTCAAGAAAAACGTCATACTGCACTGGGCAAATCTGGTACAAAAGACCTCTTTGAAATGTTGAAGAGCAAAGATGTCACTTTGAAGACTAAGGTGCCCCTAACCCAAGCCATGGCATTTTCTGCAGCTTCATATGCATGTGAAAACTGGACAGTGAATAAGGAAGAATGAGGACAAATTGATGCCTCTGAGTTGTGGTATTGGAGAAGAATATTGAAAATACTATGGACTTCCAGAAGAATGAACAGATCTATCTTGGAAGAAGTATAGCCAGATTGTTCCTTGGAAGCAAGAATGGCCAGATTTTGTCTTGTACTTTGGTCATGTTGTCAGAAGGGACCATTTCCTGGAGAAGAATATCATGCTTGGTAAAGTGGAGGGTCAACGAAAAAGGGGAAGGCCCTCGAGATGGATTGACAGTGGCTGCAACAATGAGCTCAAGCATAGCAAGGATTGTGAGGATGGCAGAAGACCAGGCAGTGTTTCGTTCTTTTGTATATAGGGTTGCTATGAGTTCGAATCGACTCATCAGCCCCTAACAACAGCATCATGTACTTGATACAGCGCCTGTGACATTGGGAAACATGAAAATAAACGATTTCCTCATTCTCAAGTTGCTAATGGCCATCCCAGATGATGGCAGAATCATGGAAGCAGTCATCATCTAGTTAAATAATTTCTGTAATGTCTGCAGATGAAAGGGTAGTGAGAAAGAATCCCTAATACCTATGGGTATTTAAAAATTTTATCGAGTCATATTTTGGGTTTAAGTAACCTTGTGCCTAGTCTTTGCAGTGAATTATATCATTTTTGCATTTAGTCACCAGCAACAAAATACTTTACAGTGTGTGGTAGAAAAGAAATTTCCTGAGTTTCACCAGAGTCCCAGCTCTTTGGGCATCATTTGCTTCATGTAAAATAAGGAAGAAAGAAAGGAAGAAAAGAAGAGGGAGCAGGAAAAATTCTCACTCGGCACAGGGTTGAGGCCTAATTTATTTATAGTTTGTGAACCAAACGTGCTGACAGCATATGTGAAACTTAATGGCCATGGAATGAAGGAGAAGGTGGTGCCAGCCACTGCCTTGATAAAGCATTCTGGAGAGCCTGAGGAGACTCCTGGGCTAGAGGGGCACATTTTGTGTGAGTGACAGCTGTTGTGAACTTGCGGCTCAGGTTTACCACCTCCGTGCTGTCACAGAACTTTTTTTTTTTTTTGCATGCCAAAGTGCTGTTATGATTTTCATCTTTCAAGAAGGTTTTTTTTTGTGTGTGTGTTTGAAAATAGATGCAGATAATGAAGTTGTTATTGTGCTGTTGAGTCAATATCTGACTCACAGCTGCCCCATGTGACTGAGTAGAACTGCTCCATGGGATTCTCTTGGCTGTAATCTTTGTGGGAGCAGATCACCAGATTTTTGTACCGTGGAGCGGCTGGGATGGAGCCTTTCAGTTATCAGCCAAGCACTTAACTGTTGCACTACCAGGGCTCCTTGATGTGAAACCTGGCTATTTGATCGTGTGTTTAGTAGCAGAATTTAAGAAGTGGATGACTTTCATTTTGGACATGTCCCAGATGTGATCTTCTGGCTGCACAGTGATGTGGCAGAGGGCCCTCATGCCTCTGAGGAGGAAATAGGGGCCGAGGTACAGACCTTTCTCCTTTGTTTATGGCGATGTAAGACATCTTTTCTCTTTTATGATCCATCAATCACCCATTCTTGCCATCTTAGGTTATTTGACTTTAAACCTCTCTTGAAAATAAATTTATACCACCTCACTTCCATGTAAAACTGTGGTTCTCCATTTCCCTACCATTTACTGTTATCAATAGCAGAGGGAATGGAGTATATTGAATTCTCAAGGAAGATGAGCAGGAATTCAAACAATTTGCCTGAAATGGAAGGGACCGACTTTTAGAATAAACAGTTTAGAATAAACTGGATGCTATAGCTTTTAAAAATTTATTGTATAATAACTATTATCTTGTTGGCACAGAGTTTCAGAAGCTTTGGAGGAGTGTCACTGTGGATTCAATGGATGAGGAGAAAATTGAAGAGTATCTAAAACGACAGGGTATTTCTTCCATGCAGGAATCTGGACCAAAGAAAGTGGTATGTACTCTTTGGTGGGGAAATCCACTCTTCTTTGAACTGCTAAGCTGCTTCCTCTTCTGCTCCCTGAGGAGCAGGTAGTCGGTTCCACCGTTGGCTTTTCCTCTGCATCTTACTTGTTTGTGACGCAGACTAGCTTGTGTCTGATCTTTTGGGAGTCGGTGGGCCTCTTCTGCCCTCAGGTGCTCCTCCCTAGGCAGGCGAGGGTATTGCCTCCTCTCTTGGCCCCTGTCCCTGAAGCTCCAGCAATACTGAGCATTTGGCAGTTGCCTAGTCTTTTACCTCTAATCCTCAGCACAACTGTTTACCAGTTTGTGAAAAAGAACCTCCTTGGCCTTTACGGCCTTCATCTTGCTCCTTCTACCCTTGCTTAGTGACGTTCACTAACTGTATGTTTCCTGTACTTGGATTGTGGCTCTGCCATAGCCTCTAAGACAGAGAATTGTCCTTGGTGATTTTCAGGTCCCTTGGGAACCAGATAGTTCTGTCTTTATAGCCTAGCCCCTAATCTAGTAGGGATCAGTAATCAGAGGAAGACTTGTGAGTTGCCTTGTACCAGCTGATCAGCTGTCTACAGTCTTAAGAGCAAAGCCGAGATGAGGAGTCTTCCCCACACCCTGAGCCATAGCTGCTGTGCTTCTGTTGCTCATCCCCTTGTTCAACATCGTGGGTTGTAACTTGCCTTCTCAGTGGCTTCTGGCTTTTCTGTGTGTGTGTGTGTGTGTGTGTGTTTGTGTTTTACTCAGTGAATTTTGGGGATCCATAAAAAGAGATTTATTGCCAGTGATCTCTCCATGTGTAAGTGGAATGCAACAGTCCCGAGTTTCTATTGTTGCTTAGTTTATTTGTTGACTTGTTTTATCAGGTGATACTAATATTTCAAGTATACAGAAAAGAATAGAGAATAAGAAAACTTTCTGTGTCCATCTGCTTTCCAGTTTTGCCATATTTTGCCATGTTTACTTCACATCTTTTTTTATTTGTAACAGTTGATATGTATTTTTAAACTTGGTAACAAAAGGAGACAACAAAGAGCTTCACTACCTCTCATTTCTTCATTTCTTTTATCCATTTAATGGATAGAAAGCTCTTGTCAGATTTGGTGCCCCCCGGCTTTTGGTTCCGGAGGGAGCCGTGCATTTCACTAACGCAAAGCATGCAGGCCGAAGGTGTGCAGGTGGGTGTGATGCTGGGCTGCAGAGGAAAACAAAACAAAACAAAAGCTGCCTGGGCGTTTTCAGTAAATGCAGATCATTGTGCCCCTCCCTCTGAGTAACTATTGTTGCTAACACTTTTTACCTGTCCTTTTAGGCCCCTATTCAGAGAAGGAAAAAGCCTGCCTCACAGAAAAAGCGGAGATTTAAGACTCATAATGAACACTTGGCTGGAGTGCTGAAGGATTACTCTGATATTGCTCCCGGCAAATAGTGAACTGTGTGTCCTTGAACAAAAAGCCACAAATCCAGAGTCAAGGTCTTTCTTGTTGCTGCTTGGAATCTGAAGACTGCCTCTCTTCCCTTCCTGCTTCTTAGGACTGAGAAGAGCAGATCAGGTTCCAGCGCAAGTGCAAACTACCAAACTCAAAGCTTATTTAACCGAATAGGCTATTGAGAAATGTGACTTGGTGTGACTTTCACTGTTAACCTTCTGTTACTTCTTGGGAGAAGGCACTTAGCATGGCATGCAAGTGTCTTTGATATTTAACTCTGCTTCTGAATGGTTCCTGGTTCCATTTTCCTCTTTTATTACTTTAGAGCAAGTTTGCAGATAGTCTTGAATGCAATATTTGTTTATTCCAAAAGAACATATTTATAATAAAATCATTGTAGAAGGATTTGAAAGATGTTAGTGAGTTCAGTTTGTTTTTTTTTTCTTTCTTGAGAAATGGAAGTAGGCAACTTCAGGCTTAACTTTCCCTTGGGCACATATCTGGTATGCTGTTGAAGTTTGCACGGTGTTGCTGCCAATCCTATGAATTTAATAATTAGACCACAAGTTATGTCTCGTTAGCAAGTTAAAGCAATAAAGATAAACTAAATATAATTTTAGTGTTTTATTTTAAAAGGGTAATTCAGAATTATTTAGCCTCATGGATTTAGTAAGTCATGGTCTGATAGTAACCCAAACGTAAGTGGAGAGGGTCTTCCCGACATCTCAGCATCAGCTTTGCTATGTCGCCGCAGCCCTCCAGTGGCTGGACTCCCCCTGTCTCCCTGTCACTGGCTGAGCTCATGACTGCCATTATCAAATATGTGTGGTCCTTAGGGTTATGGTGGCTTATGGGAAATCTGTGTGGTGATTCTAGCCTTCAGTAGCAGACTGCCCATTTTCCTTATGGTCTGTGGTGGCCCTTTGGGTTGATTGTTACTGTCTTCATCACAAATGGAAGTTGTGAATTACAAATAACAAGGTTCTGTGTTCTCAAAAGGGGTGTGATGGTAACAGAGCAATCAGTACATTGTGGAGGTGACAGGGTGTCTCTTTGCTTTTTGAATTCCTTTTTTCCTAACTACTTCTCTTCCATTTACAGTGTCATCTTACTGTTACCTCTTAGCCCCAGTCATGGCATGAGAAGATAAAAAACAAGGCTGCCACATGATCATTTAGAACACGGAAACTCAACCTGTCTTGCTTTGTATCAGGTTTTCTGCTAGTAGGGAGGAGCTCAGTGGCATGGGCATAATAATTTTCCCACAATAATGTGAAAGTAGCTTATCTCTAAAGCAGATACCTAATTTTTGTGGTCATGCACACCATCCTGTTTTGTGGGCTAAGTTTGTAAATGCAGTATGGACATCCAAAACACTTCATCCTGCTGAGCTGGGAAATGGACATCAAGACGTCCATCATGTCCATCTAAGATGCTTTACTGCTAGTTGTAGACTATTTATGATTTCCAATTAAGCCTGTCGTCATCAAGACTTTGGGGAATGGCCTCATAATTTATGTCAGTTTTCTTGTTTAAAACTCAGAAATGAGGCATTTGAGTTAACAAAAACACTGCCATCGAGTCGATTCTGACTCACAGCAACTCTTTCTTGTGTTTCCGAGGTGATATCTCTACAGAAGTAGATTGTGCCGTCTTCCTTCCGAGGAATGGCTGGTGGGTGTGAACTGCCAGGCTTCTGGTTAGCAGTCAAATGCCTTAGGCAGTATGCCACCAGAGCTTCCAGTTGAGATCTAGAGAAATGAAATGCCTTGCTAGATTACCGCACCCTCAAATCCTACAGCCTCACTCATTGAATTCCATTTTCTGCTGTTAACCTGTAATCCTCCTTGCCTACCACAGGTATGAGAAGTTCCTTCCAGTGCCCTATGTTGGGGCATTGGCATTGGGTCATCTGTTATGTGAGGGGAGGGCAAAGTCTCTGTGAAAAGTTGTGATAGGAGCCCTGTTGTGTTTGACAATCATAATAAAAAGAAATAATAGTCTCTTACCAGTTCTTTTGAGTGTTTAAAACCATGTTGTTTGTTGTTGTTATGTGCCATCGAGTTGGACCTGACTCGTAGCGACCCCTCCTTGGGTTTCTGAGGCGGTATCACTATGGAAGTAGATTGCCCAACCTTCCTTCCAAGGAACGGCTGGTGGGTTTGAACCACCAGCCTTCTGGTTAGCAGTTAAATGCTTAGGCACTGTGCTACCAGAGCTCCTTTTAAAAACATATCCACCAGATATTCCAAGTTAAGGTTGAAGTCATGTTCTTGCCTCTGCCCTGTCCATTTCTCCTAGCTCTGTGGGCCATTTAGAGGCAAGTGGGAATGGGCATGCCTGAGTGAGTTAAAAGGTTGAGACAGTCTGTAGGCATTTGATCTATAATTCATCACAGTGAGTTGAGGCTTTTAGGGGTGAGCTGAGAGAATGTGATTGAGCCTAGACAAAGTGTAAAAAGTGAGCATCTGGCTGCTCCTGTCACCTTGTGTAAGTGTAGCCAGATGATGGTTGGACACAGGGGATGGAGGAACACTCGATACCTATTGAGCAGTGTTAGTGAAAAGGCACTGTGGGGACTCCCTTATTTCCCGCTTCAGTGTTCACAGAGCTAGCCTTGCGAGTGTGCAGCCTTTCGTGTCTTCTGTGAGCTGTTTGAAATCACCAGCAGCAAAGATGGGTTCTGAATATGGGTGGTGATGTGGGAATTTTAATTTATGAATACCCCAATTCTCATCAACAAATGGCAGTTTCTTCTGAGGCATGAAAGATGAGACTCAATGTCACCTCCCCTTCCCCTTCCCACCCCCCGCCATTGCTTTCTCTTTCCCAGTGATTGATTTGTGGGGAAGAAGAGTTTGAATTTTCTCTAAGTTTGACTAACTGATCTTAACAAGCTACGCCCAGCATTGTGCTTCCTGGGTAGTCAGCTGGAGTGCCGTGCGGAGCCTTGGTCGTGATTGTCCACTGTCACTAGGACTGCTGTCCTCAGTGCTTCATGTGCATCAGGTTATTTCCCAATGTATATTTTGTAGGATTGTCCTGAGAGATGTTAATGGGTGTTCTGGGCGAGGCCCAAGGTCAAATACATTTGGAAACCATTTCTCAAACTAAGTGGGCCTTGGAACACCTGCCCATGCCCTGTAGTGTGAGTGTTGGGAGAAACAATCTAGAAACACAGAGCTAGGCCAGCCTGGCATTGTACTGGTGACCTTCCTTCTGGCCAGAGCTAAAAACTCAAAAGTACATTTTCCTTCATAAAAGGATTTCCACTGTAAATAAATAGGACTGGTTGCTTTCAAGGAGATTGACAAGGCAAGTGTGTAATCGCCCCCTTTGGATAGTTTAGGGCCATGACTAGTCTAACTTCACTGGTTTGGATCTGAGCCAGCACATTCCTGTGACTCAAACCATGAGGTTTCAAGATACGGATAAAAAAACCAGTGACTTTTCAGGGTGTTATTTGGAATATTTAGCAGTCAACTTCAAATGTGGGAAAAGGGATCCACTAGACACTAAAGTGCGACTGGCTGGGCTTTTGAGTTGTTAGAGATTTCAACAGACCAGAACTTTGCATGGCTCACACTTCAAAGGACACAGAAGAAGGTTGCCAGTCAGGGAGCATGGAGTCAATCACAGGATGAAAAGTGAAGCACAAGCTTACCTTGACTGTTAGAAGAGTATTTCAGCTAGTTTGCATTTTTAACTTACTTGAGGAGCCCCTCATGCCCAAGGTAAATGGTCTGCGTTCTGTTGGTAGAAAAAGAGGTTGCTTTGTGCAGGTAAATATTTTAACTTAAGCATCATTCCTCATTGCATTTAGGCCTTTTTTTTCCTTTCTTTTTGCATAGGAGACAATGTTGAATTGAAGCATCTTGCCTAATTAAATTTCTAATTTAGTATTAGTAGCATGTTCAAAGAGGTCCACTTGAATTTTCTGAGTGAAAAGTGGAACCAGAGGACCGATTTTCCCTTCCTCCTCAGACCTTTGGTAAGAGGTAAGTGTGAGAATGGAGAGCTTCGTTGCTGTGTTTCTATTGTGTGCTGGAAAGGTGATGGAGACGCATGGTAACCCTGTATGACAGAGTAGAATGGCCCCATATGGTTGCCAAGGCTGTAATACTTATGGGAGCAGAATGCCAGGTCCTCTCTCACAGGGTGGCTGGTGGGTTCAAACCATTGACTTTTTGGTTAGTACCCAAGCTGTTAACCATTGTGCCATCAGGGCTCCTGGCTTCGTCTTTACTTATTCATGGGCATATTATGTTATGGTTTATATGAACAGATCTTTTAATTTTTTTTTTTTCTCTCCTCCCTCATAAAGCAGGAATCTGGTAGTTTAAACTCCTGATGGCTTTGGTAAAATAGAACCCCATGAGTGTCACTGAAGAGCTAAGAAGAAAGGATAAAGAAGGTAGTCCTCATGGCCAGTCACGGATTGAATTATGCCCCCCCAAAATATATTCTAACGTGGCTAGGCCATGATTCCCAGTATTGTGTGGTTGTCTACTATTTTGTCATCTGATGTAATTATCCTCCATTTGTGAGGTGTTGCAAGTCTTGACTCTGTGTTAATGAGGATGGGATGCAACTCTCTTACTCGGGTCACAGCCCTGATCCAATACAAGGAGATATCCCTGGAAAGTAGCCTGCATCACCTTTTATTTTACAAGAGGGAAAAGGAGAGAGAAGTGAGCAGAGAGAGGGACCTGACTTATCAGCAAGAAAGAAGAGCTGGGAGCACAGTGCGTCCTCTGGTCCTGGCACTGAGAACCTCTTAGACTCAGGGGAAGACTGATGCCAGCACACATGGAGATAGATTTGCAAGGAACGCTGGGCCCACAGATGTTGAGAGGATACAAAGCCCTTTCCCAGAGCTGGCAGAGAGTACGCCTCCCCTAGAGCTGGTGCCCTGAATTTGGACTTCTAGCTTCCTAAACTGTGAGAAAATTTGTTTTTATCTACTTGTGGAATTTCTATTATAGCACCACATAAATACCATAGCATGTTGGCACCTTTTTGGACCTGAGGCAGTTAGAGCCAGGCTGGTTGAGAGGAGTTAAGAGTACATTAGCATCACCAGGAACAGCAGAGGCATATAGAAGCTTTACCACAGCAGTTTTTAAGATTTCCTAGTACGGGATCCTTAAGCACATAGCTGACTGCATGTAGGTTTTTCAGTATCATGGTCATTAGTTTTAGTATAGGTGTTCTGAACACTAGCATTTCAGTTAACATCTTACTAGTATTAAGTATCATACCTGCTTCCTGAGAACGTTGTGAACTGTTCTAGGTCCTAACAGGGTCTGGCAGAACAGTTTCAGAGAGCAACTATGTGCAAATAGTGTGTTCTAAAACTGGTTATCAGGATTCTTTCATTCCATTGATATGGGAAGAAATGCATACTCGGCGGT